GAGTGGTGTAGGAGCCAGCCTGGATCGTGGTTTGGGTGAGTATATCTTTGTTATTTTAGCTCCGTAGACTAAATAAGCGCTTAACCCTTGCAGTGCGGTGGTAGCCCCAATGCAAGGCTTAAGATCTGATCTGCCTGGAGTTCTTCTTTAATGGTACAGCTATACAACATAAGCCCAGAATAATGCTACATTCACACTCTGCATCTGGGGATTCCTGTGGCAAGAACGTGCATGAATCCCTGGTGGGCCCGTGCAAATGCGGCCTCTGTGCCCATTCAAGTTAATGACAGGGTGACAGCGGACGCATCTTTCAGCAGCAATACATGTGTAATTGTATGTGGTGCAATTACCTGTGGGTTCAGGATAGATGATTTGTCCCTGGGTGCAGACAGATTGCATCCAGGGACAATCATCTATCCTGAACTACAGGTAATCGTTCCATGTATGATTATATGTGGAGAGCCATGGACAGATGTGGCTGTTGTCATCCTTTCCTTCACATGAACAGGCACATCTCATGAACAGCATCTGTATAGACTCACCTGGGACTCTTGCTGCAAGAATCTTTAGGTTCTTGCCGCAGGAAACCCCCACCTTTAAATGTAGCCTAAAGGTGCCCACACACCTTGCGATAATCGTACGATAATTGCGGGAAATCCCGCAATCGTGCGATTATCGTAAGGTGTGTGGAAGCCGTGCAACCTCTACAACTGTAAGGTCGCACAACTTTTATCTTAGGAACATGTTCGAAAACCCGCCAAGCATCGTACGATGTTCGGCGGGTGTGTAGTATGCTCGTAAGATAAAAGCCGGACAGGCCGGTGTGGGCAAGCGCACACTGCCCGTTCGGCATTGCGGTCATCGGAAGCCCGCCCCTCAGGGGGGCGCAGCTTGCGATCATCGCAAGTACGATCTGCCTGTCCAAGATAGGCAGATTGTATGTTTTTTTAATTACCTTACAACCATCGCAAGACGAAAGTCTTGCGATGGTTGTAAAGGTGTGTGCCCAGCATTAAACTTGCAATACAGTAATGACCCGCCTCCCAGCTTGGCCTGGAAGCCAGCTCCATTCTGATTGGCCCGGAAGTCGGCTTCCCGGCCAATCAGCATTGCCCCGGCCGAACAGCTGGCTCGATGCTGATTTGCTGGAAAGCCGGTTTTCCAGCCAAACAGAATCAAGCCAGCCAGACTACATGGAGCCAGCTTCTCTGGCAATTGGATTGCCTGGGAAGCTGGCTCCATGCCAGCGGAAGCACCGATATCGTATTCGGTATCGACGAGTACCGAAAAGCAAAATATCGGTACTCGATACCAAAAAAACGGTACCGGTGCATCCCTAACAATAACCATCAGGAAACATTCCCTCATCCATGCTGTTTAGTGTGTATGTGGAAATGCAGCAATTATTTCTCGTTCAAACAATTGAGTGTATGGCTAGCAGCTGAAGACCCCCACTGTTTTTCCACCCTAAGCCCTCATTGACACCTAGAATTTTGTAGCGCTTTTTCTGTCCTAAATAAAACGCTCTAAACAAAATCCCATTCATTTCTATGGCCATGTTCACATGTGAGCGTTTTGTTGCTTGTAGCAAAATTCCTTTCACTGGAAAAAAAGTACATGAGCTTCTTTTTGGCAGATTTAGCTCTTCTTGGCCCCACAGACTTCAATGAAAGTCTGCCCATTTACATCATTTTGTCACAATCTGCTCACAAAAACATGCAACTCAATGTGCGCATGTTAAACGTTTACAAAAATCATGCAAAAAAATGTGCAGCAAAAATGCGAGAAGAAACGAGCGAAAACGCTGTTGCGTAGGTGTGAATACACCCTAAATCCAACATCCCTCATATTGCAGTATGCAGTAGGGAATCTAGACATTCTGTCACCCCGGGGCAAAGGCTCAGAGTTGCTCTCACCGCCAAGGGATAAGTTCTTCATCCACACACCCAGTGGCCCCCCTCCTAAAGTAGCACCTGGGACACATGCCTCCCCAGCCCCAATAGCAGTACAGGCAGTCCCGAGTTACAAACATCCGAGGTATGTACTTACAAAAGGTGGTCCCAGGGTGTTCCACTAGTTGTAATGCTATCGTGCTCGTGCCGACGTTCATAGTACTGTACCTCCTGTATATTACAGGAAGTTGTTAGATGTGCAGATGAGGAGTGGGTCTGGTTTGTAGTTCTGTACCCGCTGTACATTACAGGGAGTTCTTAGACGCGCAGACGAGGAGTGGGTCTGGTCCTTAGTACTGTACCTTCTGTACATTACAGGATGATGTTAGACATGCAGACGAGGAGCGGGTCTGGTTCCGGGTACTGTACCTCCTACACATTACAGGAAGTTGTTTAGACGTGCAGACGAGGAGTGGGTCTGGTTCGTAGTACTGTACCTCCTGTACAGTACAGGAAGTTGTTAGATGTGCAGACGAGGAGTGGGTCTGGTTCGTAGTACTGTACCTCCTACACATTACAGGAAGTTGTTTAGACGTGCAGACGAGGAGTGGGTCTGGTTCGTAGTACTGTACCTCCTGTACACAACAGGTAGTTGTTTAGACGTGTAGACGAGGAGTGGGTCTGGTTCGTAGTACTGTACCTTCTGTACATTACAGGAAGATGTTAGACGTGCAGACAAGGAGTGGGTCTGGTTCGTAGTACTGTACCTCCTGTACATTACAGTAAGTTGTTAGACATGCAGACGAGGTGAGCCTGCCTCTTCTTCCAGGTCTGGTATGATGGTACATTACAGGAAGTTGTACAAACATCTGTCCAAGTTGCATTAAAAATAGAACTCCATGCAAATTAAAAAATTTTAGTTTTGGTTAGTATGGTGTGGGGTGAGGACAGCAAAATGTTACAGGGGGGTTAACCCCTCCCTATGTTATCCAAAACAAGAAAACATTTTGGGACTGGAGATACACTTTAAAAAAATGTACCTGTTCCAACTTACATACAAATTCAACTGAACAACAAACCTACAGTCCCTATCTTGTTCGTAACCCAGGGACTGTCTGTATTTTCATTTCATCTCTTCCACCTGGGTGCCTCTGCTGTCTTGCATGTTTTTTTGGGCCGTTCTTGTCTTATCTCTCCAGTACACATTGGGTCCCTCTAGCTGCCGAGCTTTGGATCAGTCTGAACTCCACCCCGAGGAGTATTGCGAGTGACCACACTGCGCAAGGAAATAAATGTTCCTGCACGCCTTTTTGCAGGTTAGGTTGCCCGATATACTCAAGGGGATTTCTCGCAACCTATCTGAGTATCACACTATTTCTTCTACATTTATTTAAAATGTATGTATAGCTTTGTACTATAAGATACTACACTCGGTCGGATCTCGTTTGGGACTTTTTGTCCTCAATTTTGTTGCTCCCACTGTTTGGAGTTGTCTCTCTTTCAACCCGCTAGCAGTATGGGAGCTGCTACCTATGACAGTTACCTCTTTGACAGCATGTAAAAAGGCACTGCAGTGTACATAGTATTGGCAATAATGGAGGGGGGGTTCGCTCGCCATGAATTCAGAACGTTAACACGGGACCATATTGTCAAAAAAGGAGAAAAAACATTAATTATGGCAAAATGGGCATTAGTTTCTATTTACTATTTAATGATGTGTTTGACTTCTTTAAACCACACACACCCCAAAGGATTTTTAATATTGAGAATTAGTTGTACTGTGCCTGTGCCACCTCCCCTCCCCACAGACAATGACATGCTAAGATAGAAAACTGGCCAGTAATTCTATTTTCTTCTGATACTTCCACCTGTGTTTTGAGGCTTCGGAATGCCATAGAAGTGGAAACATTTTATTTCATTAAGGGTTCTTTTTCTGCTTTAACATTAAGCACATTTCACAAAGCTAACACATTAGGATAAGAATATTTTTTTTCAGTTATTTTCAATGGGATTTGGCATTGCACTTACATTGCTGAAAATAAAGATCCTTGTCCTTGCGTGAAAGCTCTGTTAATTGGGTTTGTTTTATATTACATTTCCTGGTTAGCAGAGTTCTTCCCTAAGAGCAAATGCAAAACTGGTACTGAATAGCGGGAGCATTGTAGAGGCAGGCAGCTCGTATATAGCTTGCTCCACACCCCTCCTCCCATCCACATCAGTCTTTGTAAGAGCTCAGCATCAGAAACACATCCTGAAAACTAGCTTCTATCACACAGAGAGAGCAGGGAGTCGGAGAATGGCAATGCTGAAGGCTGTTCATTCCCTCTACACCAAACCTCCAGCTACAAGCAATGCAAAACATGGAGAGGAGACCATAAGGAGCAGCCTAGAAGTCTAGGGAGACTTGATTTTATTCCAGTTTGCATGTAAGAGTGTATCAGCTTCTGGACTCCTCTCCCTTGTTTGTTGTATGTAGCTTATGAACTCACATTAAAGGATTTTCTGTAAATCTGCTACAGAGAGGGAGAGAGGGAGGGGATGAGCAAAGCGAACGGTACTTTCTTAGTCTTCATCTTGGCAGCCTGAGAGGTGGAGCTGGTCCCTTCTGCAAAGTGAGGAAGGTGAGCTCTGAGATAGCAGCTCATATTCATAGAAAAACAGACTGATTCTTCTGGGTGTGAGCTGCCCTTTGTCCAGTTGGCTGTGTAGCTCTTGGTAGGCCAAAGGGTACAAGTTGGACATGACGTCTAAAGAGTTCAGATAGGACTGGTGGTCAGTTGAATGCTCTAGCCAAATGAGAAGTGAGTTCAACCATCAGCTTTAGAGAGTTGGGTTGATTGTTTTAGTCTTGACTTTCAAGTTTGACTTGTGGGTCTTCAAGTTTGACGTTTGTGTCTTCGAGTGTGAGGAGCTCATTTGACTATGTTACAGGGGATTTAGGATGTTAACACTCAAGGTGTTTTGGTGAAGGACATCTTGACCAAGTAGAAGAGTTTGCTGTAGACCCACTTGTGCTGCTACTTTTTTTAGTCAACTGTTTATTTCGGCAGGGAGTAGTTCTTGAAAGGTGTTATCTATAAAGAGTTTAGTCAGCTGCCATCCGCCTGTAGCAAGCTGCTAGGAGTTCACCTAGGTGTCAGCTCCTGGGAATACAGTGGGTGTGCACTGTGTTCAGTGACAGTGACCTGTACTCAGCCCCTCTCTACGCAGCCACATCAAAAGCTGAAACTTGCCCTCTCTGCCATCCTGGGTGGGGAGGGGTGGAGAGAGGTCCAGCAGAGCAACCCAAGCTCCCGGCTTCACAAGGATGGTGGTAGGAAATGCCTGGAGACAGGGAGCAGGAGATCTGTATGAAAGCGCTCACACTGGTGGCGGACCTGTGCTATAGTGGCATTGTGGAGAACGAAAACTGCCTGGATTTCATCTACTACCAGAGAGAACGGAGCCGACCTCGCTACACTGAAACAGGTATAGCCAGAAAAGTATAATTCATCTTCTAGCATGCCTTGAAATTAACTGTCTGTGTTTTATTCCTCTTTAGCTAATGATATAGTCTGTGTATGAGAGACCTAGATTAGGCAGACTGTTGCTATTATAGAGCATATCCTGCAGGATCTGTCTGTTCTGAATTGATGGTACTTATAGTTCCACCACATCTGGAAAGTCAATCTCTGTCCTTTACATATACCAACATGAAAATAGTGCAGTGACCTGACCAAATAGACAATTCAATGTATATCTAATCAGGCCAACCCTTGCAATACATTCTAAAGGATTATAACATGTGTGCTCAGATTTATTAATTAGCAGTGATGTTAAAGGTATAGTCATTCCTAACAACCAGTCAGTTGGCTGTGGGGAAGAAATTGGCTGCTATGGGCTTTTGCACATTTCCTTATTATATAGATTTAAAAACCTGCCTTAATTACTGTTATTCTGCTGCTACAACTAAAGGCTTATCCTTTAAGATTTTTGAAGGGAGCCTACCTACTTGTAGCTACCCACTTGAGATACCTATAGTCATGTAGCCATTAAAGAGACAAGACAGCTACAAACAATATGGTAGAATCAGTGCATTATGGAAATTAGATTCTTTCCATGTCTCGCTGCTTTTACTCTACTAGTCTATGACTACAAGTTCCAGAATCCACACCCAGTGTGTGACTTGTAGATCCACAACAGCTGGAGAACAGCAGGTATTGTGAATTATCTGAACAGAACCTAGTGCATGTATTGGGCAGTAACAGGTTGGTTCAATAAAGCAAGAATCAAAGTGCAGTGCCCGGCAGCAGCCAATCAGAATACATTTTGTACTGATCTGAATTCAGTACAGCTTATTGGTTGTTGTGGATCTCTGCTTGTTGCACTTCAGCCACCTTTGCACTGCGATATCCCGTAGAAAACCTATAAATTAAGCGGCTGTGGTGGCAAAAAATACAGTTACCTGATTCAAAATGCATTAATAGTTTACATTTGGGTCTTGCTGCTACTTGTAGTTCCGCAACCTCTGAGAGCTTCATAGAGTCTCTGGTGCTATAGAAATATTCCATATTTAAAATGGTCTTATTGTGATATTGATATGTTTCTTTAGTATTTGCTGTTGCAATAATTTACATGATATTTATAGAGGTTGAACAAAGAATATAAATGTGATGACTGTTTACAGCATTTGGAGCCATGGTTGATCAAAAATCTGATTTAAAGGGTTGCTCCACCCAAAGAGTTTTATTACCCAGAATTACCATTCCCCCCAACTGGGGGTGTTACAGAGCCAAATATCATTATCACATGCCCTAGATGCATTATGATGGAATAAATGGACAATTGGTGTGTCCAGCTGTGATTGCTATCTGTTGGTGACAATAAAGTGTCCCATTTTGGCATGGTGCACCCGCACTTGGATTGGGACTTATGTTGTGGGATTTCACCATAGCACCCTTTGACGATTGGGTCTGAATGCTGTATGGATTGCCCTGGATTTCTTGGATTTACAGCTGTGAGAGGGTGACACCATTCCACTGTAAGAGATGCTGAAGATACATCTTTATGAAAATGTAGCCAATGTACTTCATGGGAGATACTAGCCAGCATATCAATTTTGGAAGGTGACGGTCTCTATCATTTCATTTTATACAGTGTTTCTCCTGGAAGCACGTAAATCTCATAGGATCGGCACTGAAAATTGCTGCACAGAGTGCCGATCATCACTCCAGCATGTGAATCCTTTCTTTGCAAAAAAAATATTAATAAAAGCCAAGACATTTTATTAAAACCAAAAAAGCCATTGTAAATACCCTTTTCCCCATCATGACCGCTATCCAGAGCAGCATCCAAGGGGAAGGGGTGGAGACTCCTTGAGATGATCGGCAGGTTCTGCTGACATCACCGATCCCAGCCACCGTCACTCAAACTTTACATGGAGGGGATCAGCAGCCGTCTGTCTGTCTGAGTATAGGAATGCTGTTGCATGGCACCAGCGCCAGATTAACATAGGGGCTACTAGAGTGCCAGCACTAGGCCCGCCACTGAAAAGATTGCCTTGATATGCCTGGGCCGGCCGGGCTGTACACAATCAGGTAGAGGTGCCAGCAGCTCTCTAATCAGGCTTATTAGACGGCTGCTCGCTGGGGCCTTGCGGGTCCCCAGTGAAGAGCAAGAGGTCGTCTAATTAGAGAGCCATCTCTGCTGCTTCCCATCCATCCGAACGACAGCATCAGGCCCATGATCAGTGCCGGATTTCCCACAAGGCCAACTGAGGCCCGGCCTCGGGGCAGCAGGGAGTAGAGGGGCAACAGAGGTGTGGAATTGCTATCTCCCGAAGCCCAGGATATGCAGTTTCGGGCCCCGGGCGGGTAGTTGTTTAGCCCTGCTTTGGGCAAGCAGGGCTAAATGTACAGTGCTTGTTTTCTACAAGTGATCTCGGCGATGTCACCGAGATCACTTGTATGCAGCCTGCATATAGGGGGGCGCATTGAGGAACATGGCATTGGGGCAGCAGAGAGAGTAAATCCGGCCCTGCTCATGATGCTCTTAATCCGGCCCTGCATGGCATCCTCTAGCACCCAAATAGAAGGCAGAGGTGCAAACTGACCACAGTAGGATGGATCTGCTTCTGTGCTTGGCGTGATTAAAGCAGAACAGAAAAGAAAGGGGGCTGGTAGCATCAGAAGGTATTTCGCAGCAAACGACAAAATAAAAAATGAACAAGGCTATATTTATAAACAAGTACATGAAAACACAGACACATACATGACATATTACATTTTGGGGGACCATATACCCAAAACATGAAATACTCACCTCCTCTCTAGTGGTGTCTTCCACAATAATTCCTTTCTACCACTAGATGTCATCAGTGTTCCAATTTGAATGACACCCAGCCCTGTTTACCAACCTCTTGTAAATGATGGGCATCACGGGGCCGCTCTCAACACATTCACATTTGACTTAACCTGAAAAGGGAAAACTAATGCAGCCACCCACATCTAAGGACTAGTAAGCTGCAATATTTTTGGCCTTGGGTTTAGATACACTTTAAATCGAATGAATATGCTTATTTTATTCTTGGCTCCACAAGTTACCCCTACGTACCCTATTATTGCTCCCTCTTACCTCAAAGTACTGGGTTTTCCTTTTTGTACAACTGGTTCCTGAACATAGCAGAAAGGTATCAAAGGGAAGCTGAGCATGTGAGCATGTGCTTCTGGTATTATCGGCATTAAGTGCATGTGCACATTACTGTGCCTTTAGTGCACACTATTACACAGCACAAAGTGCGGTACCAAGTACTAGGTGTGTTGGCATTCATTTGAATGGCACACCAATGCACCTTCCAGTGACTGTGAGATGCAGCACCATGCATGGTACCGGAATACTGTGCATCGTGGTGAAAAACAGTGCATGCACTACTCTTTTTTCACAGCACCATTACACAATGCATAGTATTGTGGGACTGTATATTGCGCTGCAGTACAAGGCCACCAACAGGTTCCTTGGGGTGCCAATCAAGTACTGCATTGTAGTACTGCTCACTATGTGTGCTGTGCAATAGCGTCTGCTAACTGCATGGTAATGTGAGCTTAGTGCAGCTCTATAGTGTGTATGGGCCATAAAGGGAACCTGTTGCTTTGGCTTGAGTGGGCAAAGAGATGGTTTGCTTTAATGCTACATTCACACTATAAGATTTGGGTTTCCTGTGGCAGGAATTAACAGATTGGAATCTCAAATATCCCTTTTACCTGCGGCTTACATCTGTAAGTGGCAGTCTGCATGTAATTATTATTATTATTATTATACAGGATTTGTATAGCGCCAACAGTTTGCGCAGCGCTTTACAATACAAGGAAGACATTACAATCACAATACAATTTAAGACAAGATGGTAAGGAGGACACTGCCCCTGAGGGCTTACAATCTAAAAGGGAGGGGCCAGTTATACATGAGGAGGTAGCTGTGTGGGGATAATTTGTTTGAGAATGTGATAGTTCAGTGGTTAGGTTGAGATGGGATAGACTTCCCTGAAGAGAGGAGTCTTTAGGGATCGCCTAACGGCAGTCCATGTGGGAGATAGACGGACAGGTTGGAGTAAAGAGTTCCAGAGCATGGGAGAGACTCTAGAGAAGTCCTGGAGCATGGGAGGAGTTGACAAGGGTGCTAGAGAGCAGGAGGTCTTGGGAGGAGCGGAGGGGACAGTTAGGGTGATATTTTGAGACAAGGTTGGAGATATAGCCGGGGGCAGAGTTGTGGATGGCTTTGTAAGGGATTGTTAATATTTAGAATTGTATCCTTTGGGCGAGTGGAATAGTATGTGATAGGATTACATGCAGTTTGGAATTGATCATTGTCCCTGGACACCAAAATGGGAGATTTGCATAGTGTGAATCAGACCTGAGGCTGGGTTCACACCATTTTCTGGACCAGATCTGGAACATATTGCATTGAGTTTTTGCCACGTTTTTACTGTGCTTTTACCGCGATTTTGCCGGGATTGGAGTCGATTTTTTTTAGTTTAAAATGGTCTTACAGGTGCGTTCCAGTCCGTTCCATGCGTTTTTGATGCCGTTTGATGTGTTCCAGTGCATTCCAGACCAGACAAAATAGGACAAGCAGTTGTTCTCTGGTCTGGTCTGGAACGGACTGCGCTTGTGGAACAGAGGCCAGAAATAGCATAGGGATACATTGGGATGCATTTTTTTTTCATTTTATTGACCAGCCTCGGATGATCACAGTTTTCAGTACCGGGGTCAATTTTCAGATGGAGATTTCAAGGCCGGTAGTAATTAAGGGGCCCATCATGGGCCATTACACTAATTGTTTGAGAGTATAGCTTCTATAGTTTGGTGTCTTTTCATTGTACCGGTCCTCTGAGCTGGACACAAAGTTAGTTTGCAGACTGCTTCACCATCTCAGGCATCATGTTTTGCACATTAACTAATTGTGTGCGTGTGTTGCTGGATTATCTGTGCATA